TTTTCCACATCCTGTACGTAGTATGTACTTGATACATGGTAGGTTGTTTATGAATGAGAGCTTCTCCATTTTTCTTCAACTGCTTCTCTGTCCCATCATTCCTTTAGGAACCACTCAGAACATATTTTTGGAGTAGCTACTTTGGAGTAGTTCCACATTTGAAACAGGTACAGACTGCAGACACTGGAAATATGTACCCGTGTTCTCATCTGACAGCTCAATTCCACCAAGTAGTGGTAAGAAGTCAACCTTTGTTACTTCCATTCCATCATTACTAGAGTGATACCAACTGCATTTCTACATCTTTACCCATAGCGTGTGAGCATCATGAAGGCTGAGCAAGATGTCCTGTCACCACTGTTTCACCAAAGCATCCATATTCATATTATAGAACTTAGTTTTGTCCAGAGTATTCATTACTTGGAGAAATCTGAAGACTCTAGGCAGGTCCAAGGAACATGAGAGAGTTAAACTTCAGTTGAGTGGTAGAACTTTTTTCATTCCTTTTCCAACTAGGTGTCCACCTTAACAGCTGTGCAACTTATGTTGCTAGACCCCAAGATTGGACCAAAGGGGATGAGAGTGGGTTAGAGACCTGTGTGTAGTGATCCTACCTACTGCTTGATGTAATCTTGATCTGTGGCTAGCTTTGATACATTACCTGAGCTCTGAAGTCCTGCTTTTGTATTATTGCAGCAGGAGGGAAAGTTCTGTTAGAAACACAGTTTTGTTAGAAACTAGGAATTTAGAATTAGCCCTGGTTCTGGTATTACCAGTTTTATTAGACTGGATAAGTCATTTTGGTTTTGAGCTTCAATGAAAGCAAGTTCTTTTGCTACTTCAAATGTCATTGTAAGGCAATCAAATCAAATATCTATATTAGACTGTATTATTATACAAATAATAAATATCTATATTTCAATGGCTGTGTTCTACCATTGTTTTTGGTGGTGGCAGTGGTGATAATTTGTCCACAAACTACACATTTCATTAGGGCCTCAAAGATCAGTAAGGTTACTTTGGATCTGCTAAATCCATATACACAAACACACACACAAATAAGAGGGTTCAGGAAATAGTATAGCACCCTTAGGGACATTGCCTTGTGTGTGCCCAACCCTGGCATAACATGACCTCCTGAACTTATCTGGCTTGTGTCAGAGTATGGCCCAGGTGGTTCTGGTGATCTCTGGAACTGCATATTTTCAGGCCCTGGCACTGAACCACCACATTGTTGGTTGAGTTTCACAGGGAGTGGTCCCTGGACCCCTGATCACTCCTTGGGATGCTTCCTCCATGCATCCCAACACACATACTCACACACATGCATGCACATGCATGCATGCATGCACATACATGGTGATTAAGTCACCCGTCACCTTTGAACAAGATCTTTATACAAAAAAAAGAGTTTAATGCGTTGTCTCTCACTTTAGAGAAAGGTACACAGACATCCAAATAGCAGTGTCTACCAACATCACATGGGAGACCTAGTAGGAGCATTGGTATTAATCCCCTTATCCTCAGTAAGTGTCAGTTCTCAGTCAATGGATGCACTTCCATTTGCAGGAGATATTCCATATTTCTTCCTTGTTCTGGCAAAAAGTAATCCATCTACTAGAAACTTCCATGTGGTAAGCACAGAAGCCTCTCTTTATCAGTGTTATACCTTGGGAAACTCTCTCCAGTATAGATAGCAGAAAGAATAAATATTTTTGTTGAAAGGAAAAAATGAAGACAAAGGTGAAAGGGCATCTTGTAATGGGTTGAGTCAGAGAAGAAAAAAGAAAGCATTTTACCCCCCTTTCTTCTCTTTTTATCCACAACAGTCTTTATATAGAACTTGTACAAAAGCCAATTTATTTGATATGGAAAAAATGTGAAGGCAGCAAAACACACACATACACAGAGGTATTTGTGTTGGAGTTCAGAACTCAAGTTACCTAGAGATAAAGAGTTTGAAATTTAGGTTGAGTTGAAGTGCTTTACTTTTTTATTTTTCAGCATTTCAAAGAACATTAAGGTCAGGAAGTATCGTGCAACTCAGGCAAGGTCCCTAACAAATTTGAAGGGACTCAAAAAGACCAGAAAAAAGACCAATAAAGGTTCAGGACCAATATATGGTCCATTATCACATTTATCACACATCTCCCATCCTGATCGATTCCTCAAGCCATCATTTTCTTAGGGATCCCTTCTCTATTCCATCTGCTCTCTCCCCTCTGCTCATGAGGTGGGCTTCCAGCTATGGAGCAATCCTCCTGGCCCTTGCATCTACTGTCCTTGGGTTTCAGCCTCAAACATGATGACCTCTCAGTTCCTGTAATGCAAACCATAATGTCCAAAAGTATAGTGAGAGTATGGGGAATATTGTCTGCCATGGAGGCAGGAGGAGGGCAGGGAAGGGGGGTATACTGGGGAGATTGGTGGTAGGGAATGTGCACTGGTGGAGGAACAGGTGTTTGATCATTGTGTGATTGTAACCCAACATGAAAGATATATATATATATGTACACACACATATATATGTGTGTATATATATATATATATATATATATATATATATCACAGGTATGTAAACCAGCAAAAGAATTGAGAATCAAATTCTCAAGGGACTTGGCATTTTCAGCAAATAGTTAAGATCTTCATACTGAAGTGTGAGTATCTACAGAAAAGTGGCTATGTCTGAGCTGTTACCGAAATTGTCACCTCCAAGTATAGACTCTCGCACCTTCTCTGCATGATTTTGAAAATCAGGTAGTCATATGGGAGAGAGAGAGACCTGTGTCTTACATTAATTAGAACAGAGAGAAGTAAGTTTCAACCAGTACCAGAATCATCTATATAGTATATATTGTGTCCTTGATTTCTCATTCAGTCAGTTGGCTTGGGACCTGAGTGTTTAGTCTTTAAAAATACTTGTTTCATGCAGATGCTCCTGACCAAGGACCACACTTTGAAAACATGATTTGGTATAGCATTTCTGAAACTTGGCTACACAGTATAGTCATTTGGTGAGTTTTGAAGATTACTAATGATCTGACTTTATCTTCCTTACCATTTAATTTAATACCAAGAGTGGGGATGGGAAAAGGGAAAGTAGGTAAAATGTAGGCAATTTTAAAATGCTTCAAGTTTTCACAATGGGCAATTAAATTAGAGAACCACTAATATCAACTGATCTTCATTTCCTTGAATACTTGAGGTAACAATCTTAGAACTGTAGAGCAAGTTAGTGATTTTGTGAGAATAGAATTCAGTGTGCTTTTACCCCTTTACTTAAATTTCCACACGTAGCCCCCCACCCTTCACTTATGTCAGTTGTGAAATTTCAAGGGAAAAGATGAAATCTTAATCTTCTTAAAACCTCAAACTGAGGTTTTAAGGCAACTTATGAGTACTTCTTTGCATTGATTTATAAAGAAATTTTAATGGACTGCATACTTGTAGAAATTTACCACTCCACTCCAGACAAATGAGATAAAAGAGAGACAGGGTTATGAAGTATTTTCAGTCAAAATATCCTTAAATTTTAGGTACTTTTCAAACACAAACTAAATGCTCCCTCTGAGGTCTTAAACTGATGTTCCTCACCTCTAAATCTCTAAGTCAATGAATGGGCATGGCTTGGTTTGTAATGTGCATGTTAACTGCTAGATGTAAGAGCAAGTGCTGGCAAAGTATTTGAGAGTGGTCTTGTCTCTTTAAAAGGTAAAAGATTAAAAAGATAAAATGTTTCCTCCAGAGTTTGGTTTCCATTAATGACAAGATTAGTAAATATTTTAAGTCAGCAGAAAAGATGGTGATGTGTGTCATCCTAGAACCAAAGAAGGAGCTACAAAACGCCAAGAGATACCACTGACTTCAAAATCTTCATTACATAGATGTGGAAGATGAGGCTCCTAGAGAGGGACTGATTTATTTGATGTTAGTAAGAAACTACTGTTCTTTATAATATTCTATTATTCCCTATAAATATCTCTTGCATAGAGTAGACATTCTACAAATGTTCAGGGATTATTTTCATAGATTCTTGGTACCCAAACTAGCAGCAAAGGCTTCTTCAAATCAAAAGTTAGAATCACATCTTTAACCAAAATAAGGCTAGGATCAATTGCCTAGGAATGAGGATAAAATTCTCCTCTTGTTTTGAACCCTACCTATTGTACAATTTTGGACACATGACTTGACATGAAGACAGAAGATAGGATAAGTAGAAGATGCAAAGACCTTAGCACATTATCTGGCATGAAGGAAAGTATTAATGACTTCATTATAAGGGGACCTTACATCTCATTAAATGAACATCCTGGGGATGTTTGAGAAAGGCATGATAGAGTTGTGGCTTTAGAATGGAATATTAAACTAGCACTGTCTCCATAAAAGAAGTGAGTATTCAAAAAGATTGAGGACGAGAGCTGTAAAGGCTCTTAAAGGATCAAATATGCCTGAATCTCTTGTTGCACCTCAAAAAAACAAAACCAACAAGAACTATGAATTGTTATGTTTATCTTCCAGCAACATTCTCATACAGGGACCCAGAATACACACGAATTGTCAGCAAACTTGCTATTATGTCACTCTTTCTTACCTACTAAAAAAGCAATGAATACACAAATATTAAATTTAATATAAATAAGAAAATAATTAGGGAGTTTCTATTTTTCCACTGCCATTAGAAGTAAATGACTTTCTCATTGCCAATCTTGTACAACCTTGTTAATTTTATTATTGGGAAAACTAAATTGTAGAGAGGTTAGGGAAGCTTAGTGACATACATTAAACTGATCTCCAAACCCCAGGCCTCCTTGTTCATCACTCTTCCTCTCATATCAACTCCGCTTTATTAGGACAATTTTTATATCCATTGCCAAATTCCTAATACCTTCAAAAGAGTCTTGCTCTGATGCGCTTTCTCCCAGTCAGGCCTCTTAAACTCTCCTGACATTACTTTAGGACCCACCCACTTGATTAGCTCACTATCTAGAGAGTGCACTTACTTGTCCAAGAATCTTCTATTGAGGTGTAGGATAGAAGCCACATCTGCCTGGAGAGGAGGGTCCCGGACTACCTTGTACTGCAAGGGTTTACACTCCAGGCAGAGTGGGCTGTCTGGAAGTGAGGTCAGCATGGCGGCATCAATCTCCAAGTGCTCATCCAATGTGTAGATCTGGATACCATACACCTCCTCACCTACATCTTGAAGTTTGATGGTCAATGGGACATCACAGAAGACATTCTGAGGACCCAAGGAGATGTTCTTCCCACTGACAGTCAATAGTTTGATGTCATTGACAGCTCCACTAGAGTCCCAATCAGTGGAAACAAATGTCACCCAGATGGCCAGAGATTCAGGGATCAGGGGATAGCGAAATCCCAGTTCAAGATAGCAGCCTTGTGGTTCAGGGCAGGCTGGAGGAACTGTGTGTTGGTTGACAGCCGAATTTGGACTCCAGGTGCGTACACTGGACTTACAAGGCTGTTCAACATCTGGATGACCTAAGGAAAAGAGATGAGGGTATAAGTTGCTAGAAGATCTTTAGTTTGGTCCTCAGGGTTTCTTTCAGAATATAAAAATGGTTTTATTTTACTGAAACTAAGATAAAGGCAGGGAAGATAAAGATTTTTTGTTTATTGGTGAAATTTCTGGATGCATAGAACCCAACTCGACTATCTGCTGATAATGCATATCTTAAAAGTAAGGATAATTTTAATCAAAAATACACTATCTTCCTATTGAGTTGATACCCAACCTTTCTTTCCTTATCTTCCACTTGCAGGTTTTGTTGCCCTGTACAAAAAAGAAGGAAGGCACATGTTTGTTAAAAAGACATTACATCCCGTGAACTTGTTTAATTCTTGCAAGGGCTCATTTCAGGGGTCAGAAAACAAAGGTTCAAAACTATGGGGTGATGAAAATCTCGAAGTTTAAAGATCAGAATAAGAACTCAATTTTGTCACATATATAATGGGGTCCATATTCTTTGTTCTCTTTATGGGATGGAGAAGTCACTGGAATTATTAATAAAATAATTATAATTTTATAATTAATAAAAAAATACCTGTGGCATTGCCTTTGATACCACCGACTTTGAAGTGCCACATACAGAAGTGCTAGAAACCACCTTAAAAGAGGAGTTGAACATATAGAGCTTCTTCACTTGGACTGAAGATCCATGAGGAAACTTTCTAAAGTCATGAATGAAAAAGTTGGAAGGTGTCCCTGGAGCCATCTTATCTCTCCGCCCCTTCTCTACATGAGGTCATTGCACACCACGGAGAATCTCCTGCTCTGTCCAGTCTTACTTAAGAAGGAAATAGGCAGACAAGTGAAAACGGGGGAGAAAAAAGGAGGGATTCTTCTATTTCCCCAGAGAGATGATGTCTCATCCCTACTGATCTCAGACCGTAGCAACTTCTGAATTTTTCTCTGCTGAGATCATTAGTCTTTGAACCTTTGAGAACTCTCCTTTCCACTGCTGAGAAAAGTCATCAGGACTCAATATAGTGTCTGAGTTTAATCTACTTAAGGGTGTCCAATAAGAGAAATAGATCATTTTTATTTTATTTTATTTTATTTTTTTGCTTTTTGGGTCACACCCAGCAATGCACAGGGGTTACTCCTGGTTCATGCACTCAGGAATTACTCCTGGCCATGCTTGGGGAACCATATGGGATGCTGGGAATCAAACCTGGGTCAGGCTGTGTGCAAGGCAAATGCCCTACCCGCTGTGCTATCACTCCAGCCCCAGAAATAGATCATTTTATAAAGGTAGGGTAGAGAATCTCAAATTGTTCTATGTTCCATATATCTCTCATTATCTCTCTTTCTTTCTTTCTTTCTTTCTTTCTTTCTTTCTTTCTTTCTTGTTCTTTCTTTCTCTCTTTCTTTCTATTTTCTCTCTTTCTTTCTTTCTTTCTTTCTTTCTTTCTCTCTCTCTTTCTCTCTTTATTTTTTCTCTCTTTCTCTCTTTCTTTCTCCTTTGCATCACTGGTTGACAGAGAGTGAGCATGCTGGCTATTTCTAAAGAAAAGAGGAAAAAAGCTATCTTTGTCTGAAAAGGATTTGTGGTAATGTTACAGCATAACGGGAGTGACCACAATATAAAAACTAGAAAGCCATTTTTGGGGTAGAAAAGTGATTCCAGTGAAGGCTACAAATGCTTCCAATTTCCTTGCCTCTATCCAGCCAGGAAAAAGAGGGAAGACATCAAGCTGATGTTAGAAAAGAAGAAAGTGGACATTAAAAGAGAAAAAAGGAGTGAGGGATAAGAAAACTTCAAAAATCTTTAGATACAACACATGTAATAAGATGAAATGGACTCAATGACAACTCTTCCACTACTCCTTGGCTTTGTGCTTTTTTTGTTTACAGCAAATACTGGCAAGAACAACCAGTAATTACAAAGACACCAAAAGACTGTCTACCTATGTCGAAGCCTTGCTTTCTATTCATTATACAACCTCAGAGTTCCTGGTTCTTTTGACTTTGTGGGTTGTTTGATAGATAGATAGATAGATAGATAGATAGATAGATAGATAGATGTATCTTATTCATTCAAAATACTTTAATGAAGGTGAAGTATCATATATTATATAATAGCACATTTTGTAGCTAGTTATCAGTTCCTTTCATTGTCACCAATTTTTCTATGCTATCTCACTCAATTCCACAGAATCTTGGCTTGAAATAATATCTGTTTCACAGAGAGTAAAGATACTAAACACACAAACTATATATATGAAAATATACTAAACACACACACTACATATATATGATAAATAATTTTCTATCCAGTTCATATGGAACTGAAAAAGAGAAGTTAACACTCCACAGAATATCGGGGCCTCCTGTGGTACAGAGAGTGCCAGGTGAACATTCTACCCCTTCTATGGGCTTTCTTCTGGAATTGGCAAAGGATGGAGCAAACTTAACTCCCTTCTTTGGAGGAAATGAGTGTTAATGGTGGGAAGCCACAGGAGAGAAAAGATGACAAATCTGTTTGGCTTATCCTTTCTCCATGGTTTCTTGTTCATCAACAGAGGGTCCAAATGCTTTCCAAAGGACAGAAAGGTGAGCCTGGTCATTATGCTCAAGTAAGTAAACAGGAACAGAAAACTTAGCAAAGGTTACTCATTTAGTTCCTTGAGACAAACTCTTAGATACAAAAAGGAGCCTCAAAGGTTGCTGAATTCTACTTATCACCCATGCAGCAAACTTTGTAATAATAGTGGGTTTCAATGAACTAACCATCCTCTGTGTGCTGGGCCCTGTGCCAAGAATGTTACATGTCTCAGTTCTTTCCACCCTGGCAATCAGTCTATGAAGTAGGTCTTATGAAACTCGTTTACAAAAGAAAAACTGAGACTGATTTGGTTAAGTTAATTCTCAAATAAAGAACAGAATATTATGTGATACGTTGGGCCAGGCAACTTGCCAGGCTTTGAAGCAATGAATGTTGGGATAAGATGTTATTCCTACAGCTTCTCTTTGTGTCACCTACCATAAGGAACCTGCCTCAGAGAGGTGGTACAGAATTCAAATGGGATGAGATGTTTAGAAGATTCTTGCAAATGTGTTAGCTCTGTTCTGAACGTAAGGAAAAGCCAACAAGGTAAAGCTTGGGAAGAGGAGGTATTCCCAGTATAAAAACAACAGCTGACAGAAAATGTGGGTTCTGATGACTACAGTTTGGAGTGCTATGAGAAGATTACAAGTGAGAAGGCTAATAACAAATCATCATGAACAACTTTGCAAACCACAGTGTTTATATAAAGTGTAGGGGGAAAATTTATATAAGTAGGCCTTACCTATTTCATGTAAACTCTAAAATATATTTGCACAGAACTTCTTTAAAAGTTTTATTAGAGACAGGTAAGGCATGATTATTACCATAATGACATTAAATATAAAATAAAATTTAATGCAATATACTTTAAAAAATAAGTGATGTGGACAGCAGGTTTGAGCCGGGGGTGGTGGGAGCGGCAGGGACCTCATGGGAAGGGGGGCGTAATGGGCCGTCCTCCACGCCCGACCGAGGTCACCAGCTGCCCCCCACGAGCGGCTCTCCGGCACGGCCACGACTCTAGAGCACAGAAACCAATCTCTTAACTATCTAACTTTTAATAGAAATTCTTCCAGGGTTAATAAGTAAAATAGCAGAAATTCAAAACCGCGCGGCCGCAATAGCGGCCGCGGGACATCATTTTATTCTTAAACCAAGTTGTAGAAAGCAAATCATTTCACAACGCTGTTTCAGCATGTCTGATTGGGGGGGGGTCGTAAACTCTAAACAATAATTGTGCATCTTCTATCAAAACAATGTATCTAGCCAAAGTAGATAGAGTATTAACTAGAACTAATCTGCCTCACAGGAATTGGGAGGGGTGGGAGGTGGGGTTCTACTGGGGTTCGTGGTTAAAAATAAGTATTTGTAAAGGGAAATGTGTTTGATATTTACATGACTGAGACCTAAACCCGAAAGCTCTGTAACTTTTCCCACAGTGATTCAATAAAGAAATAAATTATTAAAAAAATAAATAAAAATAAAAATAAAAAATAAGTGAGAAGGTTAGCAAATAAAGCAGAACCCAGATTCTGGAGGATTTTTTTTACCTCCCTTTAACAGAACTGAGCTTCTGAGACAGGAATCTCTTAAAAATTTAAGCAAACAAACAAAGGATATCTTTTATAAAATTGGTTGAAAGTTTCAGATGTTGTTCATCCATCTATCTGTTTTGATTTTCCATCCATCCATCCACCCACACATCCAAAGAATAATTGAATGCTTGATTTGTGAGTAATGTTAGATGAATTTCTGGAAAATACTTTTCAACTTATACGGTCCTTACATTCATGGATTTTCAAGTCCAGTGCTTCTCAAAGTGGACAATACTTCCCTTTAGGGTGTGCTGAAATGATCCATAATGGTGGTAATAGCCTCAGGTGTGATTTGGAGTGTTTTCTGCTTGTTCAATTCAAAAAATTAGAATTCTAGGGAGGGAGGTACTGGGTGATTGTTTTTCCCCCAAATGGGAACTTCTGTCTAGTTTAATAAATACCAGTTAGGGAAGCACTGCACAAAAGCCATTGTGGTTGGACCAAGGTTACACCAGAGAAATGGACCAGAACATAGCTCCTAAAAGAAACAATGACTACAGTTAAGAAGTTTATCGGAATAAAGGGAGTGAAGGAGATAAAAAGGGAGAGAAGGGATAAGAGAATAAAGGAAAAGGGGGCCAGAGCAGTAGTACAATAAGTAGAGCGTTTGTCTTGCATATGGCTGACCTGGGTTTGATCCCTGGCATTCCATATGGTCCTCTGAGCACTGTCAGGAGTAATTCCTGAGTGCAGGAGTAACCCCTGAGCATCACCAAGAGTAACCCAAGAAGTCAAATAATAATAATAATAAAGGAAAGGAGAGTGAAATACAAGAAGGAAAGGAGAGATAAAGGAGGAAAGGAGGGTCAAAGCAAGAAAGGGAAAAGAGAGAGAAGAGATTGCAGCAGACAGAAAGAAAGAAGGAAAGATGAAAGAATAATACAAATAACCTTTTACTTCATTATTAATCCATATCCTTTTGTATATATAGCAAGTAAATAACAATGCACATATTTATATGAGCTACTCACTAGAAATGAGGCCATATATGTGTATAAAATGTATAAATAATCATGCTTGTTAAAATTTACATTTATAAATATCTGTATAGACATCTATTAATATCTTTGTATATATACACTGCTGCTGTTGACAAAATTAGTGATAAAAATTGACTGCCAAGACTTTTCCAGATGAATACTTTAGCACACCTGAAATATTCTAGGAAGGTAAATAAGGCTGGGGGTAGGGATAGGTGGTAAAGGTAAAGGCCCTCCCGTTGATCATCGATTTGCTCGAGCGGGCCCAGTAACGTCTCCATTGGAGACTTTGTTGTTACTGTGTTTGGCATTTCGAATACTCTCAGTAGCTTGCCGGGCTCTCCGAGAGGGGCAGAGGAATCGAACTCGGGTCAGCCATGTTGGCCGCTTGTAAGGCGAACGCCCTACCACTGTGCTATCGCTCCAGCCCAGGGATAGGTGGACTCATATAAATAAGAAAAAAATGGAAACAGTACAATATGTTAATCTGTCATAAAAAAAAATCCAGTGCTTGTGGTATAATTTATGCTTTGGAAAGTTATTTTAATTGGGATTTAATTTAGTCAGATCTCGCTACTTAATTTCCAGACTATAAATGTAGTATGACATTAAATGCCTCAGGAAATAATTATCTATGAAATACAGGTTTTTACTACAAAGATAGCAAAATGAGATTTTAAAAAAATATAACCACTTAATGTGATTGAAGGGAACAATTTCCCTGAAATTAACAGAACAGAATTAAGGAACATAGTGGATGCTCAATAAATATTTGTTAAGTGGAAACTTCCATCTCAGTGATACGAAGTTAAGCTAAAGATGTTGCAAGTCATAGGACTCTTGGAGCTAAAAAGATATTCGTTCTGTGGATAAGTTGCTATCTACAGAGAAGGTATGTAACTCACTTAAGGGCATAGAGCATGTTGATCTGTCAGCCTGGGACCAAGATCCAATCTTCTGCAACTCCCCCTCCTCCTGCAACCCTCACCCTATGCTCTTTCCACAATCCCAAAGATATGTCTGGTATTGCTCATGGATTTGGGAGTTTTATGTTAGTTTGGGAAGTCCAAAAACTTAAACAGGCAAAGATAAATAGGATGAAAATGAGTTGAGAAATAAATTGCAGAGCTTGGCTCATGGAAAAGTTTATTTCTTCAAGGATATTAAAAGGGTCTGAGCCAAATGGATCACAGAGATTGTAATAGGATGCTCTAAAAAAAGAACAGTGTCTTTTCCTGGCCCGCATGTACTAAATTTACATATCCTGAAGGAAAACCCAGGGCTTTAGGGTTTCCTTGGAGGCCTGAGTCAGCTCAGGGAAACAGGGGCTCGGGATTTCCAACTGAACTCTTTTTTTCTGCACAGCATGCTGTCAGAGGGTCAGGGACAGACAAATCAGAAACAGACGTAACCAATTGACAGTTGAGTTAGATGGAGGTGTGGGGAGGTATCTGGAAATTATTTAATTCACACGAGTGGTAGAACAAACCAAGATGATTTTCACTCTAGAAGCCCCGAGGGAGAGTTTCTCAATCCACCTTGGAAATATTTCTCAATTCTATTGACTTCACTGCCATTTCACGGCCACTAACCTCACCTCAGTCACCACCATCTCTATGTCCTGGACTCCTGCAACAGCCACTGTGCACTTCCCTTGCTTCAAGCAGACTCCCTTTCCTAATCTCCTCAGTCCAGAGCAACTGGACCAATCTTGATAACAACACACATATCTCTTCAGACCTCAGCCAAGGTACATGGTATCGTTCCACTCCCAGGTAAATCCAAAAGTCATTCTCATTTGGTTGTTATTTATTTCAACTAGTCCAGCCCATTCCCTACTCCCTACTTTGCTTTTTATGCTTCAAACCCAGCTGAGCTCTTGCAGCATTAATTAGGGAACCTCTGTTTGGTGAACCGTATCTATTAGTAGCTGTTGCACTGGAAATTAAAACCAGGAGCACACCTAGTATGGACATCATCAGAGAAATAATAACATCACATTCTATGGAGCAACTGGCAATTTCCAGTCTTTAGAGAGAGTGAGAGTGAAAATGGTAAATTATGTCTTAGTATAATAAGGAAAGTGAATTTGTGCTCTGAGAATACCAGGAAACCCACGAACTTTTCTCGGATTTTACTGAAAAAGCTGGTGCTCAAAGTAAGCCAAACTTTCTCAAGTGTATTTTTCTCGCTGATGTGCAAAAATTTCCCATGAATCATGAGTCTCAGTTCTGGATGAAATCTCCTTTTTTGTTGATCCCACTGTATATGGCATGTCTAGTGGCACAGGAATTATCACATCCAACAGTAATTGCCCATTCACTTCTCAACTCCCCTGCTAGATGCTCTGTATCACGTTGCCTATGTGCCCTGCATGGTGCCCACACACAGTGCCTCTGGTCGGGGAGAGATAAGATTGATTCGACTCTCTGCAAAGAGGTGACATGTGGTCTGGTGAGGTCTTCTCAGTCATTCTTCTCTAAGAACTGTGAGTTTGGTGTGGATAGAATAATTTAACTGATTGCAAGAAGACTTTCTAAAAGAAACTAGAGCAAGAAGATCCAGGAAATCTTCATACTGGTGGGAGAGCATGTTTGAGAAAGGGTACTAGCAGAGAACAGTGATAGGTGAGGTCTGGACCATGTGATCCCAGTATGCCTTGCAAGTCTGAGGACTTGTATTTTTTAGGAGGAAAAGCCGAGGATTTTTCCAAGGCATCTCTTGGCTTAATTTTCCAGTCACATTTGTTTAGGGTTGCTGAGTTTGACTCTCATTTTTATTTTAAACTACTTTAAGAGATAGCAAAGCATGGAACTGTTACTTTTCTCATTCACATTGCTCTCCGATCTCTCCCCCTTGCTTTATTCTCTCTCTGGATTTTTCTTTTCATTCTTTTTTTCTAAAATTAGAGAAAATCACAGAGGAATTGAATCTCAGGGATAGATCAAAGGCTGCTCCCTCTGATGAACTTGTTTCTCCACCCAGGGACTATTGCATGAGCTGACCTGCACCAGAACAAAAGGACAGGAGGAGTGGGGTTCTACAGGTATTTGAAGTCTTAGAGAGTCAGAGAGGGTGACAAAGAACAAAACAAGGGATTCCCTCCATAACTTTTCTGCAGTGGGAGAACTAGGAGGCCCCTACACCAGGATAAGTTTGGTGTGGTACAGCATGACAATAGTGTGGTGTTTCCTTCCGGTGTGCAATAGATCTATGAATCCTCCAAAGGAGGGTACATGGCAGAAACCAAAAGGAATAATTATGATATTTGAGAATGTATTTCCAGAAATAACTTAAGAAAAATAAAAAATGGTTGCTTCTTTGATCAAAGCAACCTTTGAAGAGCTCAAAGTTTCTGCTTACTCCAGTACCTGAAATGGTATGCTATTCCTAGCATTGTAGAAGCTCCAAAGACAGGTGTTGAATCAATTCATAAACACTGGCTTTGATTTTGGCCAGGAAGGCAAGCGTACAGTTACAAGATGAATAACTTTAACATACATAGTTATAACGTGCAATATGGTAACAAGAGTGAACATCACATACTTGGTAGTCTTAAGAAAGAATACTTCCCCAAAGTAGAGAGAGTATGGGAGAGATTGTCTGCCATGGAGGCAGGGGGAGGGTTGGAAAGGTAAGGTATACTGGGGAACATTGGTGGTGGAGGATGTGCACTGATGAATGGATGGGTGCTTGATCACTGCATGATTGAAACTCAAACATGAAAGCTTGTAACTGTATCTCACAGTGATTCAATAATAAAAAATTAAAATTAAATTTTTAAAAATTTTTTAAAAAGAATACTTCTTCAACACCTCCCAAAATAATTTTTGAAAGGGGTACATAGACCATGAGGTTCACTCCATGGCTTGGAGGCCAGCCGCATATGCTAGGAGAAAAGGCAGCCCAGATAGAGAAGGGAGCACCAAATAAAGGGCATTGGGAGGATCCTCCCAGGATGGGAGATGCATACTGAAAGTAGACTATAGACCAAACATGATTGCCACTCATTGCCTCTTTTGCAAACCACAACACCCAAAAGGAGAGAGAGAACAAAAGGGAATGCCCTGCCACAGAGGTAGGGTGGGATGGAGGGGAAGGGGGGTGGGAGGGATACTGGGATCAGTGGTGGTGGAAAATGGGCACTGGTGGATGGGTGCTCGAACACTGTATAATTGAAACCCAAGCACAAAAATTTGTAAGTCTACCACTGTACCTCATGGTGTTTCACTAATAAAAATTAAAACAAATACATAGTACTTGATCTTTGGTAGTAGGTATATCACATGCATACACATTTATCAAGGTGTAAAGCTAAACCCTTAAGATCAATATGGTTTTGTAAGCCAATGGTAAATCAATTTTTAATGAGTTTATGAAAAGATAGATGTGTTAATTGACCTTTTATGTCAAATGTGTGCCTCTAGTAATGATTTTTCACACCTTAGACATAAAATGTTGAATACCAATTATCTTCAATGAAGCAGGGAACAAAGAACAAATACAAGACTGGGGGTGTGACTCAGTGGTAAAGTACATTTGTTTAATTTGTGAGGATCAGGGTTTGATATCCAGTATCATATACACAAAAATAAAAGAGAAAATATTCAGAGAAATCTTAAGTACTAAGGAATGGTAGGGGGAAAACTATTGGTATCATTAAATTCCATATGCATTAAAAAAGTGGTTTTTTGTGTACTCGATCAGTAAATGAGCTTCAGGTTGACTTACCTTCTGCTTCCCGTGGACTCCAATGTCCCGATGGGCCACAGGGCATTGGGGAGGAGGCATTGAAGGCATACTGAACCAGGATTCTCCCTTCCAAGCAAAGTTCACATGCTGATCCCAATTCTCTAGGAGAACAAGGAAAGAAGGAAAATGCACCGACTTAGGAACAGTTGAATGAGTCCCTGACTCAACCAGATCAAAGGCAATAGAATAAGAATACATCTCTTCTATCCACTTTCTCTCTGTCCTGCCAAAGCTTCCAGAATAGGAAAGTGACTAAAATTCTTCCTTTTTGCCCAGCAAGAAATTTGCTTTTTGCCTAAATTAATGTTTATTCTGCTGATACATATAGTTTTGTATGTAAATTTCAAGTAGCACAGAATCAACAGGCCACTCACTACTGCTTGCACTGATCTTGATTTTCATCATGCAGTTTAAGGTCAATTGACAATTTGATATATTATTGTGTGAAAGTTTTTAGTCTCATTTGACCTCAACTGTTATCTTTCTCTAATAGTGCTCATCAGGTTCCTGCACTGTATCTGGCACCAGACTGTGTCCTAGGTATTGCAAAGAAAGGAGGCATGGTTCATGTCCTGTAGCTGTAAATAAGTGGGATGAGCTAGATGATGTCTAAAGTACAAGCTAGAGCTAGATGCTTAAAGATGCCATTTAGTCCTGACATTCTGAAGATGGATGAGTCACCCTTTGATTGAATCATCAAAAGTAGTTCCCTTACCATGTCATCCAATACATCTTAGCAACCTTACAAAAGGTAAGCCAATCCCTCAAAAGGCACTAGCTCTAGAAGTGGAATATAATGGTGGCTTCCTCTACCCTCTTGTGTGTTACATATTTGTTTTCAATCTTCCTTTGGTCATAAAATCCTACTTGTTCTTCAGCACAGGAGACTTAGTCTTAAGTTTGGAGGATGCAAACAATCCTATTACTATACCCTATGGGCTGCAGATGGAATTTAAGAAAGTCTCAAGTCTTTCTCAAGGATGAGAATAAGGATGAGCCCCCCTCCTACCGTATCAGTAGGAACACCTCCCCCACCCCAACTCTGCCAATCTTCATAACCTCTACACAGGGAGCAGAAAAGGAAGATATCAAGAAATGTTACGGCCCAATCTGTTATTGTTTAAAGTATACTTTTCTTGCTAGCTCCTCTTTAATCATTTCTTTACCTTGTTTACCTGAAAGGAGACAAAAGGGAAGTCAATTATCTCAAATCGTAGAATTTATCTAAGTCCCATCTGCAGCCCAAACGATATAGAAATAAGATTGTTTATGAAAATGACAACCTATTACATCTCCTTTCTCCTCTACAGCATCCTCCAAGCCTAAGCCTAAACAGGTCATGTGCCTATCTTCTGCTTATATAATGCAACACATGAAGAGGAAAGGAAGGTTGAATGAATAAGTATAACTCAGACACACTGCTGAGACACATGTTTAAAATAGTCTAGATCCTCAAACTGCTGATTCTGTTTCCTCTACTTTACTAGGGTAATTATGAAACTACACAGAGGCAGGTATTTTGCAAGCACCCTAAAAGTAAGTCATGGAGAATGATTAAATAGTCCAAGGCTAATCTGCTCAGTGGAATTATAATGAGCCATTATAAAAATATTTATAGAGGTTATTCATTTTTCATGGAAAATGCATAAGCTACAAGTTTAAAACGTCATCAAAACTAAATCTACACCAATATCTCAATGTTGTTGCAATTACTTAAAATATTATTGGCAATAATTTCTGGGGGATAAATTCTAAAGTGACTCAACCATTTTTATCCTGCATTTGAAAAAATTGTCTCTATATTTTAAATACATATTATTTACTCATGCACTTTTAATACTAATAATTCTGCAATGACACAAGTAGGCAGTAAATAAGGAGTGAAAAGACTTCCTCAGCACCATTCTGAGACCAGAGTTCCATTACAATGACCACCACCCATGCATAACAGCTCCCAGTCACATGATTGGCTTTATGATAACAATGAGATTACAAATGTCCTGAGAAGAAATCAGGAAATACATTGACCTTCATAACAACTAGTGCTTTCTTCTTATTTAGTTAGTGGTTTTTTTTGGATAATATACACATAATCATGTGGATTTCATCATGTTTTTCTGACATACTCTAGGTTCCCAGTACAACTTTAAAAGTGAATAAGTCATCATCCACCTGACAATAAATAAGCCTCTTGCAGAGATCCATGAACTACAGTTCCTCCCATTCCATCATGACTTTATGTAATCATTCAACAGTTCCACTGAATAATTGTTAGTGTTGAAAATAACGTGATGGCCATCTCGGGTGAGTAAATTAGCTTTAGTGTCTGTCTTCCTGGATCATAAAGTACAGTGGAGGCAATAATCCATGAACAAACAGGAAAGTGTATGTAAGTTTAGAGATGGAACAGTTGAAGAAGGAAAGTAAATAGATCATGTAGGAGGGCAGGGGGCAGGCAGAGAATTGATCTCATGAAGATTGCAGCAACCATGAAAGGCCTTAGCAAGAGGAGGCCATTTATGGGCAACACAAAGGAGATGTAAAGCATTCCAGGTGCAATCTCAAGGTATGTAAAGAACCTCAGCAGGAATAAAAGGGTTTGGTGCATGAAAGAAGACTAAGTGGTTTGAGTCACAAATAAATGCAAGAGCAGTAAGAGAAGCAGCTGGTCAGGAAGGTGAGGGCCAGATCAAGAAGGTCCTGTGGACCACATGGAGATTACACATCAAACAAATAAGAAGACATTGGAGGGTTGTAAGGCATGGAGAGACTTGATCTGATTCACATTTTTAGAATATCTGTCTAAATACAGAATGAAGAATGGATGGATGGATTTGGGGCAAAGGGGTATAATAAAAGCAAAATCAGCAACTAAAAAGCACTAGAATAGGGTCAGGGAGACAGTGCAAAAGGTATATGTCTTGCATGCCCAAGGTGCAGCATTGTCCTGTGAGCATCATCACAAATAGCCCTAGTGTTCTTTGAATGTATCACCCAAAAAATAAAACTGGAGTTGGAGAGATCAAATAGTGATTAAGGAACCTGCCTTGAATATAGCCAACCCACATTGGCTCCTACACTGCATATGGTCCACTGAGCACTCACAGGAATGATGCCTGAGTACATACAAAGCCAGGAGTAGCCCCTGACAACTGCGGGTCAGAGTACCAGCTTCTCTCTTCCCCAAACTAAAAATAAATAGAAGGTAGGGATGGAGCAATAGTAGTGGGGGGAAAAGGTGTGTCAGGGTAGGGTGAGAACCCTGGAACCCCCTATGGTCCTCCAAGCCCACCAGGAGTTATACCTGACCACCACCAAGTGTATTTTTAAATTTTTAATTAATAAAATAAAATAAAAGGTTCTGGAGTGACTCTTGGTATGACAGAAAATGCTCTCAATGCAGAGGAGATAACTGAAAGTCACAAGTACAAAGTAATCTCCTTAGAATGGAACTTGTGGAAAAATAGAATAAATTTAATTTCTGCTAAAAGTTAGACAGTGGCCTACACATCCATAGGTATATAACACAGGTCTCCCATGATAGCTAAAAATAAAGTGTTCCTATAAAATCTTCCCTAAGATGAATTTGAATAAACTAAGGAATAAATTACCATTCAGTTATATGGGGAAACATTTTGCTAATTCCCAGACCCCCAAAATATCCTATTAAGTCATATTAAAGACTTGATATAAAGACATATAAAGCAAAAATTACACAATACAGTAAAGGTCAGAATGAAATAATAAACACATGCCATAGAATGTCATTCCTAGGAAGGGATTAGATGCTACCATTCTTCTTGTTCATGGTGAACACAACCTTTATAACAACTTCTTGTAGAACACACACTAACTACTACTATAACTTTTCATTTTTTGTCATAAAAGCAAAAAAACTTCTGATCTTGGGAGTGGGGTTGATTAGGGGAAATAGACACTAATGTAGATACTTTATAAAAGCAAAGTGATGCAATGCAAGCTTTCAAAAAATAGGGCATATCCATATGTGTTTCTTATACTTGGCATTTAGCTTATTTTTATGAGAGCCTGTATCAACCCAGACACAAACACATACAAAAGTGCACATGTGCGCACAGACTCACATGCACAAACACACACACATATGCGCACATACACAAACACAAACACACATGTGCACGCACACACACACGTACGCACGCACACAGTGAAATTACAGAAGTACAAGATATCAATACTGGAAAATATCACTCTTCCTGATCCCATTCTAGGAGAATTTAAAGCTCCAAGTCTGAGCTGTCCAAGATAGCAGCTAATTGGCATGTGGCTCTTTGAATGTAAATTAGTTAAAATTAAGTAAAGTTAAAAACTCAACTCCAGGTCTGGTATGATAGTACAGTGTCTAGGGCATTTGCCTTGCATGCAGTCAACCTAGGTTCCATCGTTGGAACCGTACATGGTACACCAAGCCCTGTTAGGAGTGATCCCAGTGGAGAGCTAGGAGAAAGCCCTGAGCACTTCCAGGTGTGGCCAAAAATTTTTTTAAAAATACAAAATCCTAGCTCTTCAGTTACACTCCACATTTCAAGTAATCTATTGCAAGAGACAGCTAATGGTTACCATATTGGACAGAGAAGGTAAAGAACATATCCACTATGCTGAAAGTCGGATTGGACAGCCTTCTCTAAGATACTCACTGTATTGAATGATTTTACTTCCCTTCTATTTACCTAGAATGCTCCTAGTTATTTACTATCCTGTGAACACTGAGAACATAGTTACTCAAGTCATTTCCTGTGTTCTGAAGTTTTGACGAGGAAGACTAGTCTGAGAAAAGCTAGACTTCCTTGAGGTTCTAGGTCAGAGGCTGGAGCTGAAGAGAAAAGGTGGACAGCTAAAATGGAAAGATTCCAGACTCAGATGGGTGCATGTCCAGTCCAACTCTTTTCCTAATATACCACCATGGATTGTTCAGATAACTAAAACCATCCAGTCAACACATGTTTGCATGATAGATAAAAAAATAAGGAGTTAAAAAAAAAACAGAGTGGCCTTGAATTATTTATTCAGTTGCCCATGTGTGAGGACACAGACTGTGGGAGGATCTGAATATGTTTTTTTAAGAAAAACCCTTGTATTCTCTGAGTCCACAGATGTGAAGAACAGCAGGAGGACACGAGAATAGCCAGGGGCGAGAGGTTGGCATTGATGGATGTAGTGGAAAACACCAAAGGTTTTCCAAGGAACGATTCTTCAAGTAGCTAAACAGATCTGAAAATTCTGTGCAAGATGGAAGCTCATTACTTTTTGGATGTAGTGGATGTGTGCACTAGGAATATTACACATAGTTTTGTTAGATTCTTCACTAAAGGCAGATAAAATGGACACATTTGGAACTTTATTATGTAAGAAAACTCAGAGAGTCAGAGATCAGAGACACATGAGATGGTTGGCTTCCCCACGCTCCTATGGACCAGCAGTACTAAAGGTGAGAAAAGAACATAGATAGTTTAACCTCAAGACTTGTAAATTTATAGTAAGTCAATTTGCATGAGGATAAACTCTGTGTGCACGGAGAATGTTAGACATAATTTTTTTTTGTACAGCAATTTATAGAACCTGTAGATTGACTTCCTTTAAAGTAGTCTATGGTCTATGTAGCTGTTAACCCTAATTAGAGTAGTTTCTAAAATGTCAGGTTTAATTTAACATATGATAACTCCATTATGAAATCTTAGACTGAACAGAATAGCTATTGTATGAGCCTCAAGTACCCACTGACTATAGATTATTAAAAACATATTGATTGAAGCTGAGGGCACCATGTAATAGAGACATATCTCCTTACACAACAATTAACCCTCCAATAGGTTTCCAACAATCAGATGGTATTTATTTAATGGACAATAACTGCCTTATGAAATGCAAATTGAATACATACACAGGAAGCTTCATTTACAGAACTTCCATTTTTAAGTGGAATGGAGGCCAAGACTGGACCGAAAGTCTGATCCTTCTCATCACTACAGAATAAATAAATAAATCTACAGGTTGCTGGAGAGTCAGTTCTGAAGTATTACATGAGGTTTTCTAGTGTGGCTGGAGCAGGGAAGAGGGGGTTCTTCTCAAAGTGCAAAGGTATGTGTTTCCTGGCTCCATGTGATAACACAGCAGCCAAAGGAAGTTTCCAGATCCAGGGGCAGATGATAGTATGGAAAATTAGACCCCATATTTAATGTAGTGCTCTGATCTAATCTACTTTTGATATGCATTTATAAGTAAAAACTCCTTGCCACCTTTTATGGTTCTTTGGGGGGAAAGGCTGACATTTCCTGAGTTTAGAGGGCACACAGCACTGCAGCACTCTAGCAACTGTCCTCCTGTTGTTCATCCATTTGCTTGAGTGGGCACCAGTAACGTCTCACAACAAATTGTGAGACTTGTTGTTACTGTTTTTGGCATATCAAATATCCATCACGGGGAGCTTGCCAGGCTTTGCCGTGCAGACAAGATACTCTTGGTAGCTTGCCGGGCTCTCCGGGAGGGGCGGAGGAATCAAACCTGGGTCAGCTGTGTGCAAGGCAAACATCATACCCGCTGTGCTACCACACATACTGAGATAAACTATTGCAACAACATGGGTGCAGAAGTCCAGTCCCATCACTTTCTATGAGTTCCTGGTCAGATCTCTCAGGCCCTTCAAGTTTTAATTTTCTTCTTACCTGAAAAAATGAGGAGGAAGATTCCCTGTTTAAGAGTCATTGGATGGGAGAAGTGTGCTGAAAGTAGATTATGAACAAACATGATTGTCACTAAGTACTCATATTGTGAATCATAACACCCAAAAGGAGAGAGAGTAAGAGGGAATATGCCTACTACAGAGGTGGAGATTGGTGGGGTGGGGTAGTGGGAGGGATACTGGGAACATTGGTGGTAGAGAATGGAGAATGGACACTGGTAGAGAGATGGGTACTCAATCATTGTATGACTGAAATGTAATCATGAAAGTTTGTACATCTGTAACTGTATCTCATGGTGATTCATTAAAAAAATAATTTAAAAAAAGAGTCATTGGGAAGACTAAGCAAGGTTCTGTGTAGAATGTATGTTGTACAGAATCTGACACAGAGCAAGCACTTGATCAAAAACAGCAATTACAACAGTATTGTGATCACAATGAATCATTACTTGGTTATTATTTTCACCATCATAAATGATATGTCATCATTAGTAAAACACCTACAAGAAGTACTCAGGTGAGAATTTTATATCTGAGCCTTAAATTGCAGTTTCAAAATAAATGGCAACATCTGGGCCAGAGAGAGTACAGCAGATAGAGCAGTCGGTCGCCTTGCTACACAGCTGTCTCAGGTTCAATCCCCTGCACCCGGTATGGTTCCTTGAGCCTTTCAGGAGTGATCCCTGAGTACAGAGCCAGGAGTAATGCCTGATTACTGCTATGTGTGGCACCAAAACAACAACAGCAGCAAAATTAAATAACAACATCTTAGTTTAGTTTCATGAATCCTTAAAATCTGGTTCCTTTGAGTCAGAGAAGCAGCTTAGTGGTAAGTGCCTATCTTATATATGTAGAAGAACCAGGTTTGAGTCCCAGCTCATTAATTAATTAACTAAAATAAGATCTTGTCCTTTTAAAGTGTGATCTACTTAAGTGTGAGTGGAGTAGGGAAGTAGGGTCTCAGACTCTGGAAGACACCAAAGGAAAACATTAGATTAGAGTTTCCATGCTCGGTCCTCTGAGGCACCACAAGGTATCCTTTTCAGGGGGTGGGATATTAAGACTCAGGGAAAATAGTGACTTGTCGAAAGCTGTTCAGCTAGTAAGTCACTCATAAGGGGAAAGAATCAAGCTCTTGTGCTTCCAATCACCTTTCCTTTATCTTCTAAAAGCTTTACCGTTAGTTTAGCAAAGAAACACAAAGCATAATCAAAGATTCTAATGTATTAAAAATATGCACGTGCATCAGTGTATAATTAGACACAAACATAACCTTTCTACTCCTTTCTATGGAATATGTATGTGAAAGCGTTTGCCAATTAACTAAAAGTGATTTTAACTTGGGCTGGAGCAATACACAGCAGGTAGGGCATTTGCCTTGAACGCAGCCAACCAGAATCCAGTTCCTCTGCCTTCAATTCCTCTGCCCCTCTCCTAGAGCCTGGAAAGCTGCAAGAGTATCTCGCCCACACAGTAAAGGCTGGCAAACTACCTGTATGCCACAGTAACAACTGTCACTGTCACTGTCCTCCCATTGTTCATTGATTTGCTCGAGCGGGACAAGTAATGTCTCCATTTTGAGACTTGTTGTTACTGTGTTTGGCATATTGAATACGTCACAGAGAGTTTGCCAGGCTTTGCCGTTAGGGCGAGATACTCTCAGTAGCTTGCCGGGCTCTCCGAGAGGGGCGGAGGAATCAAACCTGGCTCGACCGGCTGGCTGCGCGCAAGGCAAATGCCTTACCACTGTGCTATTGCTCCAGTCCTACAGTAACAACAAGTCTCACAATGTTACTGGACCCTCTCAAGCAAATCCATGAACAATGGAAGGACAGTGACAGTGATTTTAACTTCTCACCTTAACTCCCTCCATCTAAAGGAAGTCTCTGACAATAAAGGTTTCCAAGTTTTAAATTTAAAAATTAAAAAAGCAGTCATGTATTTTAAATAATGTGTTTTCAATGTAGCACTGTAGTACTGTCCTCCCATTGTTCATCGATTTGCTCGAACGGACCCAGTAATGTCTCCGTTGTGAGACTCGTTACTGTGTTTGGCATATCGAATACATCACAGGTAGCTTGCCAGGCTTTGCCGTGTGGGCGAGATACTCTCAGAGGCTTGCCGGGCTCTCTGAGAGGGATGGAGGAATTGAACCTGGGCAGACCAGGTCGGCCGCATGCAAGGCAAATGCCCTACCTGCTGTGCTATCAACAACCCTTCCTTCTATTCACTGACCGCCCCCCCCCCCCCCCACACACACACATATTCCCACCTGCGTTTAACAACCAGTCATGGTGCTTAGTGAGGGGGACTGCAGTATACAAAACATACAAGCCAATTCTTCACCAAGGCTGCTTCCCTTCCAAGTTTCCCACTTCTTGGCAGGAGAAAGGGATTCCCACTTCACAGGCTACACTCACCTTTCAAAGAAGTGGCCGTCGATGGGTGGGAACCACTCCAACATCACAGAATCAGTCATATGGCCCACGATCTGTGGGGCCAGGGCGACAGGCGCTGGCTTCCTGGAGGGCTGCCAGTTCTGGTACACCAGGTCCAGGTAACAGTGCATTCTGGCGACTTGATTGGGCGTGAAGGAGTCAGTGCAGTCGTCATCTGCAAGCGGGCAGGGGAGAGATAAGAACCTAGCAGCATGGTGGGTATGTGAGAGAACTATGACGTGTCCTGGCAGCTAGAAAGCCAACAAGCCAGCCCTTGCCAACTTGGAGCTGGCCTCTTCCAGTGTTCAGAGTTAATGGTCTGTGAACAAATTAGTGCAGTCATCACTTCTGGGGACAGGTGAGAGGGAAAGAGGAAGGGTAGGGTAGACAGAACTGAAAAAGTATTTCTGAGACTGAAGAAGGAGCAGCCCAGAGGTCATGGCCAAGGACAAGGGCAAGATTAGCTGCTATTCAGGTGCACCATATTTATCAGTTAGTAAGTCACACATATTTTTTCTTAAGTCCTTCTCTCCCTCACCTGTATTCAATATCATTCATTCACTGATTTATTTGTTGATTTGTTTCTCATTCATTCAATGGCTCCTTATTCTTCCAGATACTTCTTTCATTCATTCACTTGGCACTGGATATTTTCTGTTATGCAAACCTCCTGAGAACCTATCATATATTCTCTGCTCTATGGCAAAGGTCACAGAAAGATGAAACTTAAAGAGTTTCTGCTCCTGAGGAGACACCAGTTTGGTTATAGAGTGAAGTCAACTTGTCTGAGGACAAAGTTGTCAGTGAATCAATCTTTTCTCTGATAGTGACCCCAGATAATGGAAGTAATGGCCAGCTGGGGAAAAAGTAGTCCGATCCTCTGATGAAGGAGGGACTTCAGGCAAACCAGAAGGCATGTTCAAGAAATAGGGGTCAAAGACTGAGCAATTGCAGGAGTTAGTCCCAGGTCCACAGAGCATAATGCTCATGGTAATGAGCCAAGAGGCAGAACTAGGAACCAAACTCTGTCCTTGCTGGGAAGGAGGACAGTAGACCCTTCTACCAGGACTCACAGTGGGTCATTTATGGTGCACTCAGTATGAGACAGACATGGGATACTGGGCTTTGGAAACATTTTACTTCCTCCCTATTTTTGGATTCAATACTTAAATCTTCTTCATTTTACAAAAGGAAACTTACGTTGAGAAAGAAAAGGCAATGGTTTTAAAATTTCAGAGCAAGTGCAAGAACTGAGATTTGAATCCAGAAATCTTGACTTAAAGGTTACGCTTCTCATTAATGAGAACATAAGTATCAATGAATGAAATCTATCATATGGATAAAATATCCTGAAGGTGCTTGATGAATAGAAATTGAACTTGAGTTAGAGGTGGCTGCAATACCATCTTTTTAATGGAGGGAAGGTCACACACAGCTCAAGACTTGTGTCCCCAGGAAGAAGCTTGCCTCCCCTCTATGCTCTTTCTTTAGCTGTCCCAGGGGCACTCTTTTGGCTTGTTTTTTCAAAAACACCACTTCCCAAAGGTGTCTGCCTGGTCAGGGTTTCTGCAGCTGTGCCCCAGACCGAGTGTGAGGCTCCACAGATCTTAAAAATAAACCCACCTCTGGGAGTCCTACCGTGCAAACTCACTTGTTCTTATCCAATAGGCATAATATAAATTTGGGCAGGTACTGGGAAATTGGGCATCTTCTTGAGAATAAAGCACAGAGAAGGTACATGGGGTCAAGGAGGTTATATGCAGAATCTGTTTTTTATCCCTTAAGTAATTTTTCAGTTTCTTTTCTAACACCCGGGCAGGGCAGTTTTCAAGCATTTGGAGGGAGCAGAAGGGCTTGTTGTCCTTTAGCAAGCCTTGCACAAAAGTGATGGGTCATATCAATGTTTCTCACGTCCAAGTGCTGCCAACATATTAGAGACCAACAACTTATGACTCCTGGTGGCTAAAAGAACAGAGTCCAAACATTTCAATCTGAGAAGGGTCATATAACTGGGTATTCCTCTTTGTTTCTGTGAACTCTACTATTTATTCTTAAAGTTTTGGAAAAGCCACTTATTACATAGATATAGAAGGAAAAATTCCAAAGAAGCATGCCCAAGAGTAATGTGGGAGTAGAAAAGAACTGGTTCCAACAAGAAAGTGACTTCATGCCTCCAGTGCTTCAGTTTCTTATTTGTAAAGTGTCTATTGTGATGGGAATACAGGGGCTCATCTCAGAATGTCACTACAGGAAGTTGGTTACGAAGACCCATGGTAAATGCTCACTGCCGTATGATTGGGAATAGTGCCTGTGTGAGTACCTATGTGACTGTTTGTATGTGTGTTTGTGTATATGTGTGTTTGTGTTCTGTGGGGTTTTAGAAATTATGGAAGCTAGCAAATACAGAATATATGATATTAATTTTTATTTGATCTAGTAATATTATAGTTAGAAATTCCATAGAGACTAATGACAAACATGCAGAAAAATATGTGTAAACATGTTTTATTTTGTTTTGGGTGGCAGAGCCCATAAAGCAGTGCCCACTAGGCCTTGAGAACTCTCCTGGAGATTTTCAGACAACTGGGCCAGTGATTCAAGATGTGGGTCTTAGGACTGATGTTGCTTGAGCACTGTGGTCCTGGGGATTATCAAGGCCAACCCAGCTTACTCTGGGGCCTCAGGGCTACACAGAGATACTTGAGGGATCAGGTAGTGCTGGGACTGAACCAGGATCAGCCACATGCAAGGCATATACTTTGACCTCTGAGCTCTCCCTCCAGTCCTATTGAATGTTTTCCATCATTCTTAATGGCAAAAAAATATTAGAAAAAAACTACAACTAACAATAGAAGAGTGGCTGTGTATCTCAAGGCACAAACACAGAATAGAATACCTATTAGTCACTTCTCAAAGAAAGAAGTAGTAACACTGAACTTTCGTTCTCTCACATACAAATTGTAAATATTTAAAAACAACTTTATTGCATAGAACTGCCATGAGATTCAATGAGCTGAGAGGTCCATAAACAAAGAAGAAAACACAAATGTTTGTTCCCTATACTTTCTGATGCATTTTGAATTTTCACCTCCAAAATAAGTGAATTTTTATTTTACGAGTTAAAAATTTATTTAACCTTTACTATGTTTGCAGATTGAAAATTATTTTGAAACTACCAGATAATGTCCAGTAGGGGCACAAGCATATAGGGGAACTTGAAAACTCAAGTCTAAAAAGTGGACACTTTTGCCCAAGGAGCATCATTCAGATACTTTACTATTATCAGAATCTTGGTTGAGGTACCAAAAGGTTTCCACTAATAACGAATTCAGTTAATAAATATCTAGAGTCAGCCACTTTTGGTTTCTGCTTTCCTGGCATGTGTGGTCACTTGATTCTGGGTACCAGGGATAACAAGTCCATTTTGTTATTCTGTCCAACTCTTGTCCATAAATCAGATAGAATTCGTGGGCTTTTCACACTGTGGGAGGCTGCATTAGTCCCCAAGCTACTGAGCAGTACTCTGGGCTTGCTCATACTGAATGCATTCCTATCTGTTGCTAGGAGGCCAGCAGCTCAGTGCTCCCACTTTTCATGGATTCAAAGGTAAAATGCTGACCACTGACAGTTTAATCTACTGTAAAATAGGAAATAACACTGCCACTTGTCTCCTAAACACAGAAACCACTTAACAAGCTAACTTATGTCTAGTGCACAGACAGCTGAGTTATCTTTTATAAAAATTCCTGCTTTATCATTGTTTAAAAAATAGCAATAGATATTCATTGTAGAACATTTGGAATAAGTATCCAAAATGCCACAACAAAATAAGTGTCACCATAAACTCATTACTTAGATATAATAAATTATTATTTGGTATGTATTTATATCTGTATATACATAAACGTAGACATCTAGAGTAAATTTCTATAATCCTTATTCTCACACGCAGATGCAGTAATATACAAGTATATATAATGTATAAATAAAAATATATATCACACCTAACAAGGTACGTAAGGTTCTGCAACTATGTTCACATTTAAGAATTAACAATCCCACTAATCATCATGGAGTGAGTTAAATTATGGTACCAAGGACAGTTCCAAGTTAATAACTTGTATCTACCCTCTAGAAAGTAGATAGGTGTGCTAATTCTTAGGCATTGAAGATGTAATGACAGCTCAGAGAAAATGAACATGTCGAGGGTTAAAGGCAGGAAACACTCATTCCCCAAGAGTATAGGAACTTTCAATTTCAATACCCAAGCCCAGACTTCATATTTTGAATCACTATGCTGATCTGACATCTGACTGGACCCACCAAGTTATCACCTACAACATTTTAGGAACCACATATTGCTCTCACAGGATGCCTTATGATTTATATCAGCAATCTATTCTCTTTTTTGAAATTGTACGCAAATTTTAATTTTTTACACATATAGGTACCTTTCTCTTATGCTAGGCAAATAGTAACTGCTCGCTTGAATCATGAGGACTGCTAAGAACAGTGTTTATGATTGTTTTTAACTTTATAAACTGGTTTATTTCATAAGCCTATATTTCTGAGGGTGGGACTCTTGGGTCAAGAAGTATGTACCCTGACTCACAGAAAAGTGGTAACAAGAATTTTACTCCTATAGACTGGAGAAAGAGGGTGATCTTGATGACTTCTCATGAACAATTATTTTCAAAAAAGCAGAACCCATAATGCAGCTGATGTAGTACTATTTGCTGGTGCTGACATATTCTTGTCCCTATTATATGTTTGATGATGCTTTTAAGACCATTTCCACATAGCCAGGATGAAAAAGGAAGCCTTATTATTAATTAAGGACACAATATTCTTAAGTAAAAAAGGATTGTCTTGTTTCAGTTGTGTGAGGCTGGGCAAGTTACTTCAGCTTTCTACACATTTGCAAAATGATGATAATCTACTGTATTAAGTTGTTTTAAGAATGAGGCCATCTGGAGGATCATCCTTGAGAGAAACTCAAAAAGTGTTTCACAAGGGTCCATCATATCATGAACTCTCAACAATTACTATAGGTCAGTGTTGAGAAATATGGTAGCCACTGGTCATGAGTGGCTACTTTGATTTGAATGAATTAACATGATTTAGGGTAATTATCATATTAATTCTGATAAATCATGTTATCCAAAGTCATGATAAGATAATTCAGCCTTCTATCTCATTACTTTTATTCTGAGACCATGATACTCACATATGACTAATGGCTACCATACTGGACATGAAGAAGAACAAGTCCATCTTTGCAGAAAGTTCTCTTGGACAGCACTGCACTGCACTCCAACTTGGGTATTGAAGATGTAACAGTATCTCAATGATGAGACTCAAGTGAGAGGCACCCAGGAAGAAAGCCATTGCCTGGGGAATGTCTCTAACTTCTTGCTTTAACTGCAGAGATCCAGTGCATGACTCTCCCCAGCCCTGAGAACCCGACCCTGGTCTGTATTTTGAATTTCATCCAGCTGCTTTTGTCACCTCATCTATCAGAGATCCTAAGGAAAACAAACATTTCAAAGCTCGTGGTCGCCTTGAATATGCTTTTGCGGGTTTAAGTTTGTTATGGTAGCTCAGTGAATTAGTTCTGCTTTTAATGGGTCACTGAGCTTAGGGGTTCCTTTAAAAAACATCAGTAAATCAATCACTCTTTAGATCTGTACAGGGGAACACACACACACAAATTTTTGGTTTATGGGGGTCTAGTAGCTAGTCACAGTTCCTAGGCTCCTAAGAGGCCTGCAAATTTCCAAAATCATGTTATTGTTTATTTTTCATGTATGTTGAGCTGGCCAAGAAAAGGTGCTATAGAAATGGAACGTAAGCAAGGCTGTGTGAGAGGACAGGGTACCGGATGAGAAACATCGACTTTGCTGGGAATGGGGGAACAGTGGGAATCTGCATTTGAGAAAATGCCCAGCACTCTGGTTCCTTTTAGAAATCTCAAACCTAAAGACGCTTTACAATGCTAGAAGTGTCTATTATTAACCCCTAAGAAACATCAAATTTGGACTGTATGTGCTTTCAACTAGAGATATTTCCAGAGACCATGATCCAGTGAAAAGCAAAAAAAGTCCAGTAGGAATCATCTCAATTCTGAATGTTAGGGATGAAATCTTCTCTTCAAATGCAACCTTAGGCAAAACCTTAGCAAAAATTAAATGAAAAAGAACAGGAAGAGAGTCCTAGAGGTCCAAGGAGAGAAGCTGCTCAGTCATTTCTACAAACCTGTTCAGGGTCACCCTCTGAGGCATCTTTGCAGAACACAGGTCAAAGCCAACCAGGTTATTCCACTTTTCATGCCCCTGTTCTGTCTCTTTCAAGAGTGGCACCAAAGTATAAGAGAATAAAGGGTTAGGATTACTTGTGTGCCCTGGATATAATGACTTCAGTAAGTATCAGTCTTGTCATTGTAAAATGAAGATAATTTTAACCCTATAGATTGTGAGATTAAATGAAATGGGGGTAGTTAAGTCTTTTACAATCCACAAAAATTTATTACAAATAGAAAATACTGTAATTGAATAGAATCTATTTCATATTACTGTTACAAGAGGCTGTAGTTACTCCTTCCCTGTCTGTCTCTTTCCTTTCCATTTTTTCTTCTTCCCCCCTTCTCTTCCAAAAAACATTTATTAATTACCAGGCTAGTGTCTAGCTCTGAGTACATAGTTATGTGTTAGGGAAAATCTTTGCCTCTATATAACTTGCTAGTTCTACTCCAGAAGACATTTCAATGGGATATGGAACAGCTTTTGAAAATTTTGTTGTGTTTTATTTTGTTTCGGGTGGCACCCTGGCAATGCTAAAGTGCTACTCTGTATTTAGGGATTGCTCCTGTGGTGTTTAGGGGACCTTGTGGTTCTAGGAATCAAGCAGATCCTTCCAAGTTACAAATCATGTACTCATTCCACAGAGCTATCTCTTCAGGTCCATAGATTTTGATGCGGGGTTAACGTGTGATTTTTCAAAGCTTATTTTATGCTTTTTATTTTCTAGCTTGAAGGAACAACAATTCAGAGGTATCACCACTCTTGAAGGCACATCTTGTTCCAAATTACCAATGACGTACAGGCTCAAAGTGGTCTTTCTAATGCTAAAATCCTTAATTCTAGGACATCCTAGAATTTCAAGAATGAATCCTTAAACTGAGCATATAGAAAAGGAATTGATAGACCCTATGCAACATACCTGACCTTACATAATAGTTTTGTATTGGCAAAGGCAAAGCATTTATGTGTGTGTTTGTGTGTATGTGTGTGTGTTTTATCTTCAGAAGGGGACTAGCAGTAGTGTATGTGTGTGTGTGTGTGTGTGTGTGTGTTTTATCATCAGAAAGGGGCTAGCAGTAGAGAAAAATATAAGGATTTCATGTTGTTGTTGTTTTTTTAAACAAAACAAAACAAACCTTGGTATGCTCCCACTTAGAAAATTTAAGTTGCAAATCTAGGAGGCCTCTTAAAGATAAATCTAAAGATTCCACTGTCTTGGGAAAAGTGAGATCCAAAGAGGGAATGGGATAGACCCAAAGAGATTAGGCTACCTACTAGCAGTTAGGTTTTTCTATCCAGCTTTCTGGATTTCTGGTCCTAGACAGTTTCCTAAAGCCAGCTTCTATTTGTTCAGGTTGACAAACTACTGGGATGAAGACAACTTAGAAAAGACAAACAGCTAGTTCCAGGTTACTCTAAAACTGATTTGAAGTGACATGTGACAGATATCCAGCCCATGATATTGCAGAGCACAGGGTCCTACCTGCATAGCTCATGAAGTTGTTGTAAGGCGTATCAAAGAAGCTTTGAAAGCCACAGGTGTCATTCCCTGGCCCGGGGTCACCGCAGAATTTGTGTTTGGGGGCAGGGTTGGTATCACTGCAGAGGTCTCCAGTCTCAAGGGAAGGCTCTGTCTCCATACAGGGATCGCTGCAAGACTGGATTTCTGAGATGCCACGGAAGATGTGATAGAGGCCCAAGCTGTGACCAATTTCATGGATCATGGTATGGGTGTGTCCAGGAGTGCCATAAAATGATGGATTTAAGACAATGCCACCTGCAAGAGGGAAATTCAGAGCATTAGGCAAGCTGAGCACTGGGCTTTCTGCACCAAACCAATCAACTGGGTGCTATCCAAAGTAACCACAATCTTCTCCACCCTTCTATTCCACTGTCCTGAGGGCTGTTACAACTTGTGACATGACTCATTGATTGAGTAGAAAGGAATCTCTAAAGTCATTTTATGTAACCCCTTCATTTTGAAGATGAAAACATCAATGCCTAAAGAAGTTACTTACCCAAGGCAATTCAAAACACTTAAAAGAAGAGGTATGACTAGAATTCGAGGACGTTATTTGGCTGGCAAATATTTCTGCTGCACCCTTTTACTTAAACACTAAGTCATGCCCTAGTTTACATATACTCCAGGTACTCTTAGCTAAATAAAGCCCTCAGGGTCAGATACCTTAGTATCTAATTCTCATTTTGCCTCTACTAATTCTGTGACATTGAGCTGGAAAATCAGTATCTCAGAATCCCATCGGTTCATCTTTATCCTCTATGAGTACTCTGGTGAAAGTTGGTGCCAAATTGTGCTCAACTTTATAACTTATAACACTAGTCAATGCTTTGGGGGCGTTTTAATATATAAATATAAATATAAAACATTAACAGGCACTGGTGGAGGTATGGGTACTCAATCATTGTATGACTGAAATGTAAGCAGGAAAGTTTGTAAGTCTATATAACTGTACTTCATGGTGATTCATTAAAAAATAAAAATAAAATAAAAATAAATATAAAACATTATGAATATCCATATAATGTATACATTATGAAAATATGCATGTACATTTACAAATATTTATAGTATAAATATATTAATATAAAATTTTTTGAGCCTTCTATGAGTATCACAATAATCTCACAACACAATGAAAGAGATCCTGATTCACAGAAAAGTCTAAGATCGAGTTGGTTAAGTATAGAACTGGAATTACTATTATGATTATTATTGCAGTAACATGGCTTATAATAGTGTCAATTTTGATGTTCTGGTGTACAACCTTACTACATCATACCCATCACCAAGGTGCCGATATCCTTCCACTTCTTTCCTAGGTTTCTTCTAGTTTACCCCTTTCCTCTTCAACCCCCAAATGATAATGTCAACTCTGCTGTCAGAGTCCATAGGTTTGTATTACTGGACAATTTTTATTTGAAGCTGGAATTTGAACTCAATATCCTTGGGTTCCAAATCCAGGGCCCTTACTTTGAGTTCTACAGCTCACACCTACCACAGGGTTTTGGAGTATGGCATCTCCATAAATGTATGCAGACTATTTGTTGACTGCTGACACAACTAAAAATGTATGGTGAGGTGTAATCACATGAAAGCAGCTAGAGTAGACCTGACATACAACAATTGTCTTACTGTCTAACTACTTGGCTCTTCAAGTGTGACTTAACAACTAGTAATGTATCACTCACAAGGTTATAAGAAATGCAAAATCTCTGCCCTTAACCACAGACCCACAGACCCAGAGTCTGGACTTTAACAAGCACTCCTGATGAACTGTGTGTGAAATCTGGTCTGAGATACAATGGTCTTAAAAGATCCAATATTGTGACCAGAGAGATAGTGCAGTGGGGAGGGTGTTGGCCTTTCATGTGGTCAACCCAGGTTTGATCCCTGGCATCCACATTGTCCCCTAAGCACAGCCAGAAGTGATTCCTGAGCACATAGTCAGGAGTAACCCCTGAGCATTGCCAGGTGTGATCTAAAATGGAAAAAAAAAAGATCCAACATTGCTTCTCCTAGAGAGACAGATGGGAAAATCTTGGTGGAATCAGAGGACACTATAGTTCTGTGCTCACTGGAGCTGTAAATAAAGGTTAACAGAGAAATAGTTAACATCCATACATGTGTAAAACAAACCTAGAGTGTGAGTCTGAGCACCTTGCAAGTAGTGACTTTTAGTGTGAATCAAAGCTTTAACCAAGAAAAATAAGGAGGCAGGGCCCTCCTGATTTGTACTGGCAAGTCCAGAATAGGCATTGGGAGAGTTCTATCTTGGAATGAATCTCCAGAAGGGTTAGCTGGCTCAGTCATGGGGCTCATGAACTCTATTAATTCTGAACTGCTCAGAGCCTTCTAGCACCAAGATAAAGATGTGTGAGAGAGTGTGTTTGCATGTGTTTGTATGCGTATGAGTGGGTACATACAGAGGCAAAGAGGAAGAGAAATTAAGATAGGAAATCTCTCTCAATTATTTTCTGTCAATCATGATAGAAATATAATCTCCTCCTCACCCAAGGCTTTTTATCCTGGGATCTTGCCATAACAGCACAAAAAGTGTTTTTTTTTAAAGGACGTATATGTGTATATAGATATAGTTCATTTTTAAATAAATATGCACATATTCATAAATAGGCTTCAAGTAAATTAGGCATAATTGAAACTACTGCAGAGGAATTGTTCATAATCAACATATCTCAGGATAAGGAGGCACCAGAGTGGGAGGCAGCTAGAATAAGGCTGACCTGAGTTACAATCTACGCAACAATTCAGTCACATACAGCTGCATGATCTTGGGCAAGTGATTTTGCATCTCTGCTTAGCTCTACATTAAACATCATCATTTATTGTCACTGATTCTCTGGTTCTCTATGAAGCTTCAACACTGACAGGGAGCAAGAATCCATGGGCTGTCTAGAAATACTGACAAGACTATTGAATTAATGTTCAGATCATCCCTGTATATTTTACATCATCCTCTCCAAATCTGTCTTTTTCCACAGAGCAACAACACAGAGCTTGAGTTTCATTTCATCGCTCCTCTTAAAAGGTAAAATAGCTTGAGCCTGACATCATCCTGAAATACTATAACATGTGATGAATTTATAGCCTCTGTATTCCTGGTCCTGAGCCAGGCTATGAAATTCATGGAATTATCAGGGGCATATTTTCTCCAACTTCAGAAGTCTGCTGTTCAAGCCTGCTTGGACTCTATCATGGCCTTTCAGATGCTTTTCTAATAAGATAGCATTTTTGTGCTAAGAGTCTTGCCTTTAATCAGCTAATTTAAAAACACTAGAAATTTATACTTGGGAAAGAAAGATACTTACCTAAGGACATACTGCCAAATTAAATTGCTACTAAGAACATCTATGTATCTGGCTCTGGGCTTCCACGGTTCCCATACATCACATGTGGCATGTGATATCACATACAAGAGATGTGACAGGGTGATCCTCTTCATGTTGGCCCAAGATATGCATTATTTTTTGCCCAACCCCAATCTATTTGTTAGTCTGCGCTGTCTACTCATCTATCAGCTATCTCAGGATTTCTCAACTTTAGCATTATTCGGGTTTTAGATTGGACAACTATTATGGACATTATAAAAGATTCAGGGGCTAAAGTGATAGCACAGTGGGTAGGGCATTTGCCTTGCACACAGCTGACCTGGGTTTGATCCCTGGCATCCCATATGGTCCCCTGAGCACTGCCAGGAGTAATTCCTGAGTGCAAAGCCAGGAGTAACCCCTGAGCATTGCTGAGTGTGACCCAAAAAGGAAAATAAAAAAATTAATAAACTGGGTGTGACTCAGAAACAAAAATAAATAAATATATAAAATTTAAAAAAGATTCAGCCACATCAATAACCTCTACTATTTGATACCAGTAAATATTCTCCCATTTGAAATAATGAAAACATCTCTCTAAATATTGACAAATGTTTCCTAGAGGATAAAATCTCCCTAGCTAATAACCACTAGACTATTAGACTACCTCTACTTTAATCTACCTGTACACACACACACACAAACACACACACACACACACACACACGGTGGTTTCATTTTCTTCAAAAACAATTGAGGAATAAGAGCAGTCTGGGAGGAGTTCAGACCAACTTCATTAACTTGAAGTAACAGAGTCTTTCTTATTTTACATGCTAAAGATTGAAAGTAGTTCATGATTTTTGGTATATTTTTGGTATATCTCTGGAGACAAGGCAGGCCTGAGAAAACTCCCACCACAGTCACTGCAGAGTCCTACTATTCTCAGACGTTCATCAGGCTCCATTCTTTTAAGTAATCAAGGGGAGAATGGTTTAATAACTATAGCATCTTTACTCATGGAATATTATGTGACTATTAAAATTATCATCTTATGAGAGATGAAAATCACCCAGAGAGAAACTCTTTTCTTATGATGTTAAGTGGAAAGTTTTGGTTGGAACATAATCACAAATACCATTGCAACACACACAAAAATGTAGATAGCATAATATTAAATTTAAAAAGAAGATAAAATTGCATCTATGCTATAATTTCAAATATGCAGTTCAAAATGAATGTCTACACATATATGTCTACTGGAAGAAAGTATGAAAAGAATCAAAATTAAAGAACTACAATGTTTACTTACAGGACCTGGTTCAGAAACCATTGTCATTTCTGACTTTTGGTGATTGGTTTGTATAAACATGTGCCTTGTTTATGAATATTCACAATTTGTATGTAAGAAGAATTCTTGGTATTGTTGGTGGGTGGAACATGAAGGAACATGGAGTTCTTACAAACTGACTTTCTCTTGATTTCTTGGTGTCTTTCAAGCCAACCCATAATTGGCTATGCCAGCACAATGTGGTTACCAGGCTGAGAAAATATTTGCATGAATGAAGAGGTATGGGACATGAGAAGAAAGCAGTAAGTACAAAGAGTTGGATACTTAAAATTCAAACATGAATTGGAAATGAGATAAGGATTTAGAAGGAGTTTTATAAATTAAAAACTGATAGATTGCTAGCCACTACTACTACCAGAATCACAATAACATACATCATCATAACCATCATCACCATCACTAATAAACCTGTTTCTGTGAACATAGTGTTTCTTCCCACAGAAAGTCCTAGTTCTTACCCAAGTGCATTAGGGCTTCTTTGTCCCAAGGCCACGTTGCAACTCCTGCCAATTCCTCTTCTGATGAGTTTGCAAAGAAGATGTTGAGATGTGTTGATCCATCCAATCTAAGAATGTTCTTCAACTCATTAACATCCAAGTATGCTCTGTAATAGAAAAAAAAATTTTAAACCCTTGGTGGTTACCATATTCTTAAAATGATATTATTAAAATAATAGGTACTTCTCAATTACAATTCAACTATGTGCCAGGCAAATTGCTCATCAGTTTATAATTATTACTGTATCTATGCACCTAATAATAAAAAGACCAATTTGGAAGAAGATCTTGTTTTATAGATAAGACAACTAAATCCTTGTGAGTTTGAGAGACTTTCCAAAGTTTCCCAGCCTACAGATAGTTTAATTTAGAATTTACATGAATCTAAAACCAAATTTTATATCGCTGGTCCAGAGAGATAGTACAGCAGATAGGGCATTTGCCTAGCACACAGATGACCTGAGTTAATGCCCAGCAGTTCCCTAAGCACCATCAGAAGCAATTCTGGAGGAATCAGGAATTGAGCCCTAAGCAATACCTGATGTGTCTCCCCTAAAATATTTTAGCACCACCAGTTATGGCCCCCCAAAATCAGTTTCCCCAAGGACTATATTGACTTGATGACAGGGCCACATTATGTTGGCATAAATTAAGAACACACACCGAAAAATAAATAGCCTGTGTTCTACTATTAGTTTCTTCTTTACCTCTCCTTTACATTTTCTGCAGACCCTGGGCTATTTGGGGTAAGGACACCCAGAAGTGCTGAGGGAACATTAGTGCTGGGTATCAAATCCTGGGCTTCCACACGCAAAAGTTATATATCATCTCTTTAAGTAATATCCACAGTCCTGGAGGTCTACTTTATCTCGCTAACAACTTTGAAAGATAAGTAGCATGTGCTTGAGGTTATTTAAAAACTTGCAGAACTGGGTTTCAAATTCAATTCTGTGTATCTTATAAACGTATATACTTTTTCAGTACACCATCATAAACCTTCCCATAAATTATTCTCCATTTTGTATGAACGTTCTTATCTGCAAAATACACTAGAGAAAGATTTTATTTGAGGTAACTGCCATTGTAGACTGACATGACTAAAAAGTGCATGAATACCCCATGTTACTATTTTCAGCTTACATGTAAGGAGCAAGCACATGTTGAGAAAAACGTCTTTTGACAAAATCTGGGACATCATAGATACTCAATAAATAATAATGTAGAGACCAAGCAGTAATACAGTGGGTAGGGCTCTTGCCTTGTACACAGCAGACCTGGGTTTGATCCTGGCATCCCATATGGTCCCCTGGGCACCACCAAGAGTAATTCATGAGTGTTTCAATGTCTCACACTCAAAATACAGAAAAGAACCTTGCTCCTTCTTATGCTTCCCAAATATGCCATTTTTGACCACCATCATGGACTTTAGGGACCTTGTGATAACCATTCCATGGGTAGGGTAAGAAATGAAACAATGGACAAATTTAAAAAATGACTAAACCAGCAGACAGCTTGATGTTGTACATATGACTCTATATGAATAATTATAATTAAATGTTTGTGGGACCATTCTATGTGACCAGGCTTCACATGGCTCATCTCCTTTAATCTTCTAAAGAACACCAAGGTATATGTCTTATCATCTCCATTTTCCAGAGAGGTAAGCAGAGGTTTAAATAAGTTTCAGAATTTGTTAAATTCACCCAACTAGTTAGAAGTGTTTTTCCTTTTATATAATGCCATTTCTATATAGCGGTTCTGCCCCCATCTAGTAGAGCATATAATGATGCCTCCATTCTCTTTCCCTCCTGGGGTCATAGAATGAGTTCCTCTTATCTAAAGAATAAAATACAAGTTGAAATGTATGATATTCCAATTCATGACCTAAAAGATACTGCCTCCCCTTTCAGTCTCCTGTCTCTCTTGAGTTTCCCACTTTGTATTGCCAATATCCACTAGGATGCCTTATTTTTCATCATATCGCTCCCTATGTCAATATGGAACTCTGGAACTCAGGGATTTAGGGGATGAGGAAATCATGAAAACCTGAATACCTGATATTATGGGAGGAAGAAAGCTGGATTGTGGGAAGGGACATTGAAAAACCTCAGGTTCATCTAGGTTTAACTAATTTTTTTAAACCTTATAAAGCACAGATATTGATCCCAAATCTTCTTTGGATAAGTTAAAATTTTTTAATCACCCAAATCTTTCAATGTTTTTCCCCAAGATCCCACCTTCAGCCTTTAAGACTGGAAGTATCATACATAATTTGATCAGTCTGGTCTATGATTAGAGAAGAAAAGAAAAAAGGCAACACTGATTAAGCTCCTGCATATGTTGTCACATTTCCATGCAATATTGCAGCCATGCAGCAGATAACTACATGTATCAGGTAAGACTTCATTTTCAAGCCCCAGGGTCCAGAGTTTGAATCTAGTTATTCCTCTAGGTATTGGGGTCACTCCAATCAATTTAGTTAACATTTTGTGTCCAGTTTCTTCATACACAAAGCTAAATATTGATACTTTCTGCATGGAACTGTTCAGAATATTTGGGATATTAAGTCTAAAAACCTTACAATAATAGTTGGCATGAGTAGCACTGTAGCACTGTCCTCCTGTTGTTCATCGATTTGCTCAAGCGGGCCCAGTAACATTGTGAGACTTGTCATTATTGTGTTTGGCATATCAAATATATCATGGTAGCTTGCTAGGCTCTGCCGTGCGGAGTTGGCATGAGTGAAACCTCAAAAATATTTAAATATTCTTATTATTTATCTCCATTTTATAGATGAATAAATGGGGATGGTGAGATTGCATTGTATAAGTAATAACAGGGTCAAGTGCAAATCTAGCTGTGGCCAACACTTCTCACCACCTCACTTTTACTAACTCTATGAGCTTGGAAGGAGTACAAAAGCATAAAGAAGCCCAGAATTTCTTTGAGCAGCACTTTCCACAAAAAAGGGCCATGGCTTCAAACTCTGCTCAGAAGCCTATATGTGGCAAAAGTTTATCATCGATTAGTTAACTGATTGGCCTCTCCCTCAGGTGGACGAAACTGTAAGGGGGCATGGCTTGGTGAGTCGTGTGTGGGATGGATTCCAGCCCTACCCACCTTACGCTGGCCATTCTGCTCTATTGCCACCACACTCTGATCAGCCTGTAGCTCAACATCCCCGTCTACTTAATTAGTATGTGAACTAAAGGAAGTTTTCCCAGTCACAGTCTATGTGCAGTTTGCTGCACAAGAAGGAGATGGAATTTTCAAGGAAAAGAGATTCCAAGTCAAATGGGCTTGGGATATGCTCTGTTTAGTGATCAAAAACACAATTTTTTTTAATTGCAAGAATTTTCAGGGCCTCCAATATGTGAAATGGGGTCAAAGCATGAATACATGAATACATGAAGTAGTTCTCCAAAATATATTTGACTATAGTACATTCCCCCCACACACCATTCCTGCCTTTGTCAAAGACTAAATAACAGCACAACCAATATAATTTGGAAAATGGTCAATTAAGTTGCAAAGCTGCTCCAAACTTAGATCTTCTTCCCACACTGCCTCTCAGGAGAGGTATCTCTCTGTCTGTTTTCTTTCCCTGCTGCAGAGCCCATGCACCTGGATTCTACTAGGAAGGTTGCTAGTCCCTGGAATGTCGGTTTCAGGGGCCCCAGTCCCAGAGTGCCAAGGCACCCAGACTTTACCTCTCTGCCAGAATTGCATTTCAAAGCCATGAGAACAGTTCTGGAGGGAGATCAAAGCTCTCTTAACTCAACTGTCATTAGAATATTTTCTTTATGCATCTCTCTCACTGGTGAGTGCCAACAACATATTTCCTAAATGCACTGGCCTAAGATGGTACAAGTCTGTAATAATCTCAATGAGAGGGCTGTCAGGGCCTGTTTTATTGGAAGAGAAGCAAATGGAAACTACATTCAAAATACAGAACAACAATAACAACAAATCCCTTAAATGAAATCATGGGAGGCTCAGATTTTTCAGACTCTAGAAGCATGATCCAAGGGCTCGCTGAGTTGAAGGAGGGTAGGTCAGAGGTCAGGCTCACAGCGAAGTCAGATAAGACTGGCCTATCCTTGGGGGCCAGAGCAATAGCACAGCAGGTAGGGCACTTGCTTTGCATGCAGCTGAGCCAGGTTCAATCCCTGGCATCCCATATGGTGCCACAAGCACTGCCAGGAGTAATTCCTTAGCACTCTGTGTAGCCAAAAAAAAAAAAAAAAAAACCTGGCCTGTTCAGGAATCTATTTTCACTCAGTGAAAAATAGAGAATGCGGGGGGGGGGGGGATGGAGGGGTGGCTGGACAAGTGGAATGTTTAACTCCCCCTCCCTAGTTTCTCTGTGATGTGGGTTAGTTTTAAGATGGTGCCCAATCTCTTAATTTATGAAGATATACCATGGCCGAGAGTGGATTATATCCCAAGGAGAGGTTGGGAACAAATATTTGAGGCTTAAGGAACAAAGTAGTAGAGCACTAAAGAAAAAAAAACCCTCTTAAATGAGACTGGGAATCAGAGCTTCCCTTTTCTACCAAGAGGTCCTATGGGGAAGTGATTTGATCTTTCAGAACTTCTCTGTAGAATAGGAATAAGACATTCAACCCAATAAAAGGAATATAAAACCTCCATAAGGTAATGCATGAGAAAGTGTCAGAAGAGTTCCACACATGCAAAAAAAGAAAAAAATGAAGATGAATTCTTATTGAGCTTGCCACAGAGCTAGTTGGGGTAAGAAAACTTTTTTTTTTTTTTGCCAAGGAACATTTGGATTTTTAAAGCATCACTGTGGGCCATACCCGAGACATATTCATGTCCAGGTCTGTTCTATTACTGATCATGGCCAGACTACACGATTTCATGGGTGTTACATGGTCGATGGATTGAACAGCCCTCACCCCAGAAGAAACTGGCCTCTACTCCCAATATCTGTGGCTTCTTTTATCAGGGAACCCTGCTTCCCATCACTTCTCTTCTTCAAGGCATTTCTATTCTTCACAGGCACTTACCCTGTTTCTACCACTCAAGGGACAAGTCCTGAAATATATACCTATTTCCAAATTCTGATTGCAGCCTGTCATTCCCA